CAAAAGAAGTGAATATAAAAACAGTTAATTCAAAGTATTTTTTCCAGTTTATTCATCAGTAAAACAGTGAGTGAACAAATGTAAAAGATAATCCTGACTGTCATGTGACTCCAATTTTGGCTTGTCTGTCAAAAAATTATATATAGTTAATAGTTGGTATTGGTGAAACTATATTACATGAACAGAGTTAATCTAGATTGATACTGACAAATTATTTAAAATATTTGAATACAATGTGAACCAAATAACAGAACAGAATATAGGTACTTTATTCAACCTCAAGGGTAAAAGGGTAGTTTTTCTATAACCCCTCTCACTCTTTGTGAGAGACATAGATAGACACGGGTGAGAGAGGGTTTTATAGAGCAGGGTCAGCCAACATCCTGGAATTGTCAAGGTTAACGGTCTTGCTCAAGAACTCCACAGTGATATGGCTACTGTCTTAGACAAGGGATTCAAACCCATGATATTTCAGGCACTTGGCCAAGAGATTCAAACCCATGATCTTTCAGGCACTTGGCCAAGGGATTCAAACCCATGATCGTTCAGGCACTTGGCCAAGGGATTCAAACCCATGATCTTTCAGGCACTTGGCCAAGAGATTCAAACCAGTGATCTTTCAGGCACGTGGCCAAGAGATTCAAACCCATGATCTTTCAGGCACTGAGCACTATCTGATTTACACTTGGCTGACAGACATATTTTCACCCCTAGCTTTGAATTAAGCTACTTGCTCAGTGGTACAGGGAACGTGCATCATGGGCACATGGTCCTCAGGATAAACCACACACTGAATAACCACTAATCTCAGCTACTTCACTCTCACATCAAAAGGAAGTACAAGGCTAAGACATGAGGCGACATGTTTGTGTGTACAGGCAAACATACATGCATCTCTGTGCAAGTGTCTAGACAGTGTGTATTGAGATACACCCTCCCTTCAGCTAAATAACGAAAAAAAATCCAGTGAGGTAGGATTGAGGTCACAAGCATGTAAATAAAAGACACTTCAAATAAGGCTCTGTGGATGTACTCTGGAATAAGATGACACTTTTCCCCTCTTTCTTGTAAAGCATGCCTTGGGTTTGTGAAAGGTGCCATACTGCAGTTAATAAACTCACGAAACTCAAGAAGCCAACAAAATATCAGATACACACGTAACTTCAAGTAAAAAGTATTTTTACTAATAGTAAAAATTACAGAAAATTCACTTCGATCACTAAACACAGTGCAATTCAGTTAGCATAGATTAGTTTCGCAGTTGTATGTAGATATCTAAGGAAAAAAAATCAAAGTCAAATTAAGTAGACAAATGGAGCTTGATTCTCAGTCAATAAAATATTGAGGATGTATCTTACATGTCAGTCATTATCTTGTGCAGAAATGCCCCATCCACCAGGTCCATGAACATCGTGAGCTTATCTTCAGAGCCAGCACCAAGTGCCCCGAAAGTCTTCACCTAAAGACACAAGAGGTGGAGCTTTCATTTACGGCCAACAGCTGCTGCATTCAGGACTGGCCAACCATTTATTTCAGAGAACAACGCTTTCCACTGCATTCCTATGGGTCCATCACTCTCTCTCTCTCTCGCT